ATGAGAGCCTCATACTAAATATGAAGCGGTCTCTAGTCCACCATCTCGTCTGTCTTCTAATACCTGATTAGATATGGACTAATATTCATTAATGAAAAATGTTGACCAATCTGCTTCTCTTTTAATTTTAAGATTTGCTGTTTATCTTACAATTACATTAATTATCGTGATGTTTATGTAAAAACCTTATTAATTAATCTTATTATCACTCTATGGCCAGTGTCCGAGGCTTATGAGACACTTCGTTTTATGTACATATTTACTCCATTTTTACGATCCAATGAATTTTAGTACGATATTAATATAAATTTACTTCTATGCATGTCATCAAGCAGCTCGACCACTGCCTCCGCATTCTGAGCCATTTCAATATAAAGTTGCAGCCATTAAATGGCAATTATCATTTATTAAATGTTTGTGCAAATACATATGTCTGTTTTTAACAAGAAGATAGTATTTATACATTTGAAAAAGTACATGATACTTAATTCATCCGTACAAAACAGTGGTGTGCCGTACCGTACCGTACCGTTTCGTGTTGCAACGCAATAAACCGTATAAGACCGTGCTAATCCTTGCCTCTCCGTGGTACAACGTATAACGATCGTGGCTTTCCGTGGCAATGCCGTATTAATCCGTATTAAAACCGTAGCTTATACGTAGGGTAACCGCACAAATACGTAGTTCTCCGTACCAAACCGTGGAAATCCTTGACAAGTTGATGGACTACGAATCAGTACGGACTTTTACGGTTTTCGTACGGACCAGTACGTATCAGTACGGATTAATACGGACTAGTAAGGATACGCTACGGTTGATTTTTCCGTAGCAAATTTTTGTGCATGTTCAAAAATTGTCAAGGATCGCTACGGATATACAAGGACTACTACGATTGATTACGGTTACAATACGGAGAGCTACTGACCAGTACGGGTAGCTACGGAAGATGCCGGAATTAATCCGTGGCTCTTCCGTGGGCGTATTCCGTGAATATGTGACCGGGGTATTAACACTACGTTGATGTTTCATTCCGTTGAATCTTTTAAACTGTATAAATCGATTACCGTATTGTTTTCTATACTATTCCATGTTCTGATAAATAGTTACAGTAAACATTATAGCTACAATATCACCATATACATTATATACCGCCTCCGTGGTCGAGGGGTTAGAGTTGATGACTTTTTATCAAGTTAACTCTCTGGCGTGGGTTCGATCCCCGAGAGATGCTTTTTTTTGTTAGTTTAGCGTAGAGGAAGGTTGTCTAATACTGGTGTAACTACCCGCCTATATGACTAAAATACTGTTGGGAAAAGGCGTACAATGAAACAAACAACAAACAAACATATAATATGACCGAGTGAACCGTGTATTGAGCCGGTATGTCTAAATAACACAAAGGGAGATTTTTTGGCGCAAATGGCACAAATTTTACCTCAAGTTTGATTTTCTTCTAATATTGAGGTTTGAGGCATGCAACTTTATATACTGTTTATTCCAATAAACAGTATATAACAGTATAACAGTATATAACAGTATATACTGTTTATTCCAATCAAATGATATTAACATTTTTTATGCAAACCCTGGACTAAAATTATTTGATTATCATACTTTATACCCGTTTTGGAAAATGTAGAGGAAATGCTTCATTATATTTAACAAAACAGTGACCGAAAATTTGCTTATTGAACTTTACTAGAAACTTTTGATACTACTTTTAATATATAATTACATACTTTTTCTACAAAGGGAACTGAATTTAAAATACAAATTTTAAATGATATATATCATTTAATTTACATTAAGTAATTTTACAATTTTTGTGTAGAAAAAGTATCCCTAATGCGCCAAGAAAAAAAGTCCATTACTCCGGCATATAATCTTTTAAAACATTAAAAAAGATGAAGTGTAAAACAAACATAATTTGCAATATATATAATAAATTCTATTTTGTTTAATAATTGTAATTTATAACCATTCATTGTGTCTTTTATGCCATATAATATCCCCAAATATTTTCAAATTAAACAAATCTTCTACAGCAGCAAAAATACCTCTCGCATGCTTCTTTTTAAAGAAGCAAACTTGTCTAATTTGTAGGTCCTATGTGTGAAGTTAATATAAACGAATGCGAGTCAGCACCATGTTTAAATGGCGGCACATGTAACGATATGGTGGCCGGATATGAGTGTAAATGCCCGGATGGAATCAGGGGAGAGCAATGTGAGATTGACGATGATGATTGTGCTAGTGGACCTTGTCAGAATGACGGGGCATGTAAGGATTCGAGTGGCAAGTTTAAGTATGTATTCTTCTTGTTTAAGTTATGGAAGCTGCTTTTTCATTATTGAGTGACGATACTGTTGAGAATTGGGTGCGCTGTTAAACTCGGTGGTTCCCTTTATCATGAATTATGAACTATGCACAGAAAAGGTTTACTTCAATTGTCAATAAACTAATAAAATTGCAGAAAAGAGGCATCAGTATTTTTTTTTATACTGGCTAAAATATTTAACAACTTTTAATTCTTGTTTTGGTATGAAACTGTCTAGGAAACATTACAACATTCTTTGTCGTACTGAGATAAGTCACTCTTATGGTGTAATATTGTCACGTGGTTTGGAGTTATAGCTTTTGTTTACCTTGCTTCTTCTTAATTCATAATGGAAAGATTATCTTATAGCAGGTGAATTATTTCACAGCATATATCACATTAAATCAATTTATGTATCGTCTCCATTTTTAAAGAACGCGTGGTTTTATTGTTGTGCATAAAAAATATACATTGGCTAATATAATATACTCGAATATTTTTTTCTGAATAACAATTTTTTAAGATTAATTAAACTACAAAAGTTTTAAAATGAAACGATAAAATACGTTTTGAATGTATATATTGATTGATTGATTGATTTAATTACTTAAACAGAAGTTCATTTTAAAGTTAATTCTACATTATTTAGTGTTAAATTGTACATATATTCTACGTTTAGTAACGAGATAAAATTAAAATAAAGTTTAAAACCTGATTATTTCATTTTCAAATAGGTAAATCATTATTCCAAGCCTTTTATTACTATGGCAACAAAACAAAACTGGAATTTCTTTTACATGATTGAATTATCTATCTATGTGTGTGAAATACAATTTGTATAAATTTTACTGTTATGAACTTGAAGCTGCGAGTGTAAAGATGGTTTTACTGGAGAAGCGTGTGACGTTAACATCGACGAATGTGCGAGCAATCCATGCGCATCCGGAGCTAAATGCGAGGATTTGATTGGTAGTTATAAATGTCACTGTCCAAGCGGAAAAACTGGCGCAGATTGTTCTACAGGTCTGTTTTTTTTGTATTAAACCTGTATCCTTTCAGTCTTTACTCCATGAGATAAGCATGTTATCTAAATATCCTTAAGTTAGGAAACCCTCACATCTGTAACCGGAGTATTTTGTAGTACTATTTGAAAATGTTTATTCGGAGTCTTAGGGAAGGAAAACTTGAGCTACCAACAGTACAGATCCTTTATTGGTGACAGAGGCTAATCCACATAGCTTTCTTTTGATTTAAAGATAAATGTTAAATTTCCCTTATTTTGAAAAAAAATATAAATAAACCACAAGCACAAAACAATAAGTAAAACGGCAACATTAACTACATTGTTAAAAAAGTAATGTGAAAATATTTGCCAAACCAGAGTAAAAATTTGTTTTACAGTCATAGATACAAACTTTCAACTTGATTTTCCTGTTACGGTCAGCACAATGGACTATGCACGTGTTGACATGAAACAAGACTTAACGTCTGCAACCGTCTGCTTTTGGATGAAAACAGACGACCAACAAAACCAAGGCACACCATTCTCCTATGCAAATGAAGATGGAGACAACATGTTCACCCTGACTGACTATGATGGGTAAGAAATCTAAAAATAGAAATATAGACGGTTTTCGTACTTTTCATAATAGAAAATATTTACGACATTTACCGAGAATTAATATGAGAGGAAAAGTTTCATTGGTCAAATATTATTCTATATTAAAATCTACCTTACTTCAATATTATACCCATTTTCATGTGAATTACAATGTACTACAGGCGGCCGGGTCAATGTTTCCAATTGAGGATTTAAAATTTCTTCAACCTGTTGTGGAGAGAGGCGGGGGGGGGGGGGGGGGGGAGGGAGGTGGTTAGAAGTCGCTGCTAGGGAGAAGGGACGTAAGCGATGCTGCCATTTCACTTGTCATTTATACACGATAAAACACGTTCACGAATTTCAGTTATTTCTTTTTTGCATTTGTTTTCATTGCTTTTCCGAGGGAACTGATTCTTTGCTAAAATTGACTAATGACTGCACACATCACAATATTTCCCATTTAAATGCGTATAAGGATACCTGATTCACCAGTTAAAACAGTTTTCATATCATTGTTCAAGGTTTGCGTTTTATGTGAATGGTGAAAAAAGAACGACTACGGCAAAAGCAAACACAGGAAACTGGCATCACGTCTGCGTCATGTGGGAGTCAAATCGAGGTCAGTGGAAGCTCTACATGGACGGAATTCCAATGGACAGTGGTAGAAGGCTGTCGAATGGACAAACGATCAAAGGTTTTATGTAGTTTCTTCTATAGCGTGAAGCAGATAAGCGTTATGGACTGGCTATTTAAAGTGAGGGATAAATGGTTAAGAAATGATTTCATGCATGCGCCATTGACTCTTACATGAATAATCATACATATTTCTTGCATACAAATATTAAGGAAGTATTTTTTTCCAAAATTCAAACTATAAATATATGAATAGAGATATAGCTGAAAACATTTTTAGGCATATTGCACGTTGTATATATTAACAATAATGAGACAAATAGGATTGTTTTTAAAATACATGATAACGTTGTAGATTATAGCGATACAGTAAGTGACAAACAGCCAGCCCATCTTTACTTCTGTATTTTGATTTTAAATAAGGCAAACTATAAACATAGTTAAAAATAAATGTTTTCTTTCAAAGGCGGCGGACAATTCATCATTGGACAGGACCAAGATACGCTAGGTGGCGGGTTTTCCAGCCCCGAAGCGTTCATTGGTCAAATTACTCAGCTGAACATGTGGAGTAGAAGTCTGTCTCTAAGAGATATTGAATCACTACGACAAAATTGTTCGTCAGAAATGGGTGACGTCATAGCCTGGGCGGATATATCCGGGAAAGCAAAAGGCGCCGTCTCTGATACACCTGTGGAGTTTTGTAAAGGTAAAAGATATAAACGCCGCCGCCGGAAGTGCATTCCAATGTCATGTGACTATTAAGCATTCTGGGATATATAAAATGACATTTGTTGCAAAAATTTAATGTACGTTTGAGTTCTATATTGTTGCTTTTATTAACCAATTTATTTTCACTTGATTACACACTTGATTACACATAACGTCAGGGATACAGAACAGTTAAATGCTCACTGAAATAACAAACAAACAAACAAACAAACAAACAAAAACCAATCATTCAAATTTACGTTTTGAGTATAATTTTCAAGAGAAAGAAAATACGAAGTTGATAACATTGATTTACACAAAAAAACATTTAAATGCATATCATTTTGCTGTTGTAAAAGAAAAATACAGCATCAACAAAAAACAACAACAACAAAACAAACATAAAAAAAACAACAAAATAATAAGAAAAAACACACACAAAAAACACAACAACAATGACAACAACTGAAATGAAGAATATTGTTTCAGGCAGCAGATACAAAAATGATTTATATTAGTTGCAAGAGCTTGTTTCTTAATTGAGTTAAAATACCTATGTTAAAAACTCAACTCATTAAACAAGATATCAAAACGAAAATAAGACGTAAAAACTTTTTGGTACAACAAGGCAATGTCTAAAATATTATATAAAGATTTAGCTTTTGATAATATTATATAAGCACTGTTTTTACTTGTATGTATTGTTATTTATATATTGTATGATTTTGCTAAAAAATGACATAAGCACTGTCAATAAGTGTATGTTTGAGCTTTTAATACTTTTGATTTTAGCATTTTTGTTTTTTATTAGAGTATATTATCAATGCATGTTTAAACTTTCAATAGATTTATATATGCACTGTTTGGAGCTTTTTATTTATTTTTTAGCTCACCTGTCACAAAGGGATCGCTTTTCGTCCGGCGTCTGTCCGTTGTCCATCCGTAAACTTTTACTTTAAACGACATCTCCTCATAAACCGCTAAGCCAATTTCATCCAAACTTCACAGGAAGTCAACTTTAAAAGTTGTTCAAATAATTTAATTCCATGCAGAACTCTGGTTGCTGGTTTGTTTAAATAAATGCCCCGAGGTCAAAACTGGCCCCGCCCGGGGGGGGGGGGAGGGTCATTGATTTTCCTTATTTGTATATAGTAAAAACTTAAAAAAATCTTCTTTTAAAAAGCCCAAATTGCTAGAGCTTAGCTATTAAGCATGCAAGTTCTTCTAGTTGGTATCTACCTAGTTTGTTTAAATAAAAGCCCTGGGGTAAAAATTGGCCCTGCCTCTCATTCTTTTTCCCTTTATGTATATAGTAAAAACTTAAAAATTCTTCTTTAAAAAAACCCCCAAAGAGCTAGAGCTTAGATATATAGCATGAAACATCTTCAAATGGGTGTCTACCAAGTTTGTTCAAATAAGGGCCCTTGGGTTAAAATTGGCCCCACCCCAGGCTTCATTGATTTTCCTTATATGTGTATATAGTAAAAACTTAAAACAATCTTCTTTTAGAAAAACAGAAAGAGCTAGAGTTTAGATACTAAAAATGAAATATCTTCTAGTGAGAGTCTACCAAGTTTGAACAAATAAAAGCCCTGGGATCAAAATTGGCGCCGCCCGGGGGTGTCATTGTTTTTCCCTATATGTGTATAGTAAAAACATAAAAAATCTTCTTAATAAAAACCCCAAAGAGATAGGGCTTAGATATTTATCAGGAAACATCTTCTAATGGGAGTCTACCAAGTTTGTCCAAATAAAAGCCCTTGGGTTAAAATTTGCCCCTCCCCTGGGGCCTATATACAGGTGAGCGATTTCAGGGCCATGATGGCCCTCTTGTTATGATATATGTATATGAGTGTGGTGCTTATTATGTACTTAACATATATGACTGATTTGTTTTATGCACGACATTAATTGCAATTAAATTAAGCCGTGGTTTATGTATACATGTATTTCTTATCACAAATGTATGATTTTGCTTTAATTGCTGATATATAAATTGTAATGCTTAAGCTTTTTGTGCTTTTGTTTTGACCATATTTAAGCTTTTCCATGTTACTGTGTGAACGATGTATAATAAAGCTTATATAACAGTTGTGGAAACATTTAATGTTTGATTATTTTTTTCATTTCATGCTTTTGAATTATTTGAACAATATATTGTCTTGTTTTCAAAATGTATATAGATTTAATATGTGATCACATGCAAGAGCATTCAGATATTTATACAATAATAATGTGTGGCTGAAATTCTTTTATTTTTTTATTATGATCTTTTTATGTTATCTTAATGCAAACACAGTTTGTATGAGCTTTTTTATGGTTGTTTTGCTCATTTGGCGACCATAGCTAACAACACTTTAGGATCATGTTTAAATCATTATACTCATGAAACGAAGTTTGGGGAGTATAAAGGAGTCACCCGGTGGTCGGTCGGTTAGTCGGTCGGTCGGTTCAGACGTCCATTGCATTTTCCTTGTCCGGAGCATAACTTGAAGACTAATGTTGAAAACTACAGGTTGGAATTCAAAACAACTTCATACAATGGTCAAGCACAATAAGGACAAGAATCATAACTCTAACTAAAGTAATTTCAGAGTTATTGCCCTTTGTTACTTTTCCATTACTTTCTTTTGTCCAGACCATAACTTGAAGACTAATTGTTGGAATTCAATAAAGCTTCTTACAATGGACAAACACATGGAGAAAAAGTGCAGTGCACAAGAACCATAACTCCATCATGACTCATTATAGAGATATTGCCCTTTGTAACTTTTTCTTGTCCGGGGTATAACTTGAAAACTACTGCTTGGAATTCAAAACAACTTCAGTCAATGGTCAAGCACAATAAGAGGAAGTGCAGAACACAAGAATCATAACTCTACCTAAAGTAATTACAGAGCTATTGCCCTTTGTTTTCCATTGCTTATTTTTGTCCAGAGCATAACTGGAAGACTGATGGTTGGAATTCAATACAACTTAATACAATGATCAAGCACATTGAGATTAAGTGCAGTGCACAAGAACCATAAGTCTATCTTGACTTATTACATAGTTATTGCCCTTTGTTACTTTTCCTTGTCCGGAGCATAACTTGAAAACTACTAGTTGGAAATTAATACAACTTCATACAATCGTCAAGCACATTAGGAGGAAGTGCAGTGCACAAGAACCATGACTCAGTCTAGAGTAATTATTGAGTTACTGTCCTTTGTTACTTTTACATTGATTTTTTCTTGTCCAGAGCATAACTTGAAAAGTACTATTTGGAATTCAATACAATTTCATACAATGGTCAAGCGCAATGTGAGGAAGTGCAGTGCTCAAGAAGCGTAACTCTCTCTGGATTTATTACAGAGTAATTCAATAAAACTTCATCAATGGTCAATCATATTGTAAGGAATTGTAACATACAAAACCCACAACTAGTTTCAATTACCCACAACCATAACTCTTTTTCGATTCTTTTACAAGCTATTCTGTTACTTGTACTTCCTCATTTCCGAAGCAGTCTTGTGGGGGTATTAATCACATTTAGTGATAGTTCTAGTTTAAGGTTGTCCTGTTATTTAATTGATTGAAGTTGTTTCATTCTCTTCTTCTTGGAACCTATTCCTGCTTAGTTTTTGTTCGGTGGCCTACTGGGTGCTGTCCAACTGTATACATATAATGAATGTCGCCAACAAGTGTCAATTTTTGCACTCCTGTTGTGTAGAAAGTAAATTTGTTAAATTCTCTTTTTGAGGTAGTTTTGTTTATCGCTTACCACGCTAAAAATCATAAATAGGCTTATCCATCTTTCAATTTAGACAAAACTATTCGTCATTTTAGGGATATTTTCATAATATTGCAGACCATGATCAGTCGGCATTGATGTGTAGGTTAAGCTTGGTCTGCACTGGTTGCACGGGTAGATTCACTTTCCACCAGCAGGTTTAGAGTTAAATGATGCATACGTTTTAAATTTCTTTATTAACTGTAAGTTGTTGAACCTAAATTCAAGATGCATATAAACAATGCAAGGTATTGCCCTCTATTCTGATAGATTTAACCAAGGGTTTTCGTTTTGAGCCCAACTTGTTCCACAGCCAAAGAATAAATATATTTAAATGTATGTTGATATGCGTGTGGTACAAATGAATGCTACTTTTTACAATATGTTTTTCTCTGATTCCAGCCATTTAAATGTTAAAAATTGAATATCTCTAAAGCAGGTGCTGGTTGGTTAAGGGATGCTGTAATTTTTTATTATCCCTCATATACAGTCTACAAGTGCCATGTTTTTTGTTGTTATTTATTCTTTCAAGGGATCACACTGTTAAGGTTTAGAATTTCCCTTTTAATACATTCATGGCTGAGCTTTGCATTTGCTAACAAAGAATAAACAAGTTTTAATGATGAAACATTACCAAACTAGTTCCAAACGCACATTTTTATCCTTTTCAAAAATGTTGTTACAGAAAATGGAATGTAAAGGACTACTATGGAGTACATAGTTATAGTGTATAAAAAATTAAAAACAAAATACATTCAACAATAATCAATAATTTTTATCGTTTTTATCGAATATGGTGTTTGTCGTATATTTCTTCGACCAATAAAATGATTTTAATGTCTGCTTTTTATGTTTATGTTTTAATGTTACTCATTAATATTTAAATGTGCACGTGCTATGCATCGTATCAGTATATCAGACACCGCTTTTGTATCAGCTACTTGTGATGGAATATCAAAATGCTTGCAGCTTAAACTATAGAAAACATTAGCCGCTTACAGCTTTAACTACGGGCATACAACTTTATCTACCAGCACTCTTTTAGCTTGGATTAGGTATGTATAATTTAAAGAATTTTTTTTAATAAATGCAAATATGGAAATACAATATTAAAATAAGGCTTATAATATGAAGCTGTATCGATATATAAGTCAATATCTGTTTAAATGCACATAGACACCGCCTTGAGTGTTCGTCTGTTTGTATGTTATTTCGTCCGCCAATCTCTTGTCCGGAGAATAACAGGGAATTGATTAGAACTTCAGAGAGGGATAAAGACCAGTGAGATGTAGTGCGTTGTCCAATAACCATAATTCTATCTTGCTTATTTTTTCAATTATCTCCCTTAATAAAACTATTTTATCAGCACTGACATTACTTATTTTCACCAAAAAAAATTTACTACGAAAATTACATCCTAGACAATTCTTTAGCATTTTATCCTCTTATTTGTACATGTAATTAATTTTCATACTTAACAATTAAATGTGATAGTACTACACGTATTTCACGGCTTTTTCTTGTAGCCAGTAAAATGACTGGGAACTATTTTTCTTCTCCTTATGAAGTTATATTCTTTTAACTCTCTCTTTAAAATTGCTAGGTTTTATTGAGGTTTTTCTACTGCATTTAAACACATTTACTACGGCTATAGTGGAACTATTTTCTTTTTAAATTACAGACTGTCCGGCACTCGATGATATCAGCAATGGCAAAGTTACCTACACCGGTTTGACCGCGGGATCAGAGGCCTCGTATAGCTGTAAAAAAGGATACGATCTAGCTGGTCGCAGGACAAGACTTTGTATTATTACTGGAGAATGGGAGGGTGCTGTGCCAGTATGTGCAGGTATGGTTACAATCAGACTAGATATTTAAGGCTATATTATAGAGCTGGTGTATATTCAATTGGTCTGGTTACCTGTTATCACAATGTTACTTTATGACATCGGTAGCGCATGAATTTTAAAATTTATTCGGAGCGAAAACATAACTTTTACCCAAGATGCATAAAACTGACCATATAACTTCATATTACACCGTTTTCATTTGTTCACTTAAAACTTAAAATGCATTTATTATGTTTATTGTTCAATGTTCAATAATTTCATGGGAGCGGGCAAGACCTTCCAAAAACAACCCAAAAATTTATTCTTATCTAATACTAGTAGCAGATAAAAAAACCCTACAAATCTATAATGATTGTTAAATTATTTTTATTCATCTTAGCATGTGGCACGTGTGGACATACCGTGATGTGTGCGTATTTAAACGGCTGGACACGAGGTTGCGTTGGATTCATTATAGTGACATAATCACAGGGTCGTATGGCATGTGTGATAACGTGGTATACGAATTATTAAATTTTCGTGCTCTAGTACTGCTGTAGTATTGGTTTCTTGGAATGCTGATATTCTCGTTTGCGCATCTGTGTTATGGTCAACTCGCTATTTCAATATTTGTTATATGTCGACTTATCTAGGCAGTAGCTGTTCTCTTAGTATAGAATGTTGCCATATGTACTCACTAGATAGCAAATATGGAAATTGGAATATCAATGTGACATTATATACTCAGAGGTCATGTATTGCAATACGATGTATGTCACATACATTCGATCATCTAGAGTGTGTGGATTCAATAATGTTTTCGCAGGCTTCTCTCTCGAGTTTTACCTCTGCAGCATGTCCTTGCTCTCCATGGGGCTGTACTTTGAATAGTGCAAAACCTACTGTTGACAACAAGTTTTAACTACAAGGATACAATAACGCAACAAATTAATCTTAATCTATGTTTAAAGCCGATCAATGTGCTGTGTACAAACTCTCAAAGTATACTGTTTTATTAGAGAAATACAGTATGCATTGTGAGAAAACGCACAATGTGACATTTATGCTGCATTCGTTCGTTTATTGGGTGAATTAGAATTATCATACCTCAAAAGTTTTGTCTAAATATAGCAATTACAATATATATATGAAATTGTTATGATGAATATAAAAACAAGCTTAATTATAAAGAGACTGCCCTACTCTTATTATTACCCCCTTCCGCATAGCGGAAAGGGGATTATAGGAATGGCCTCCGTCTGTCAGTCCGTCTTTACGTCTGAAACGCTTTCGTGTCTAGTCCATAACTTAAACCGCTGAAAAGGTTTTGAAATAAATTGGCACAAGTAATCATCATAATGAGACGATGTGCAGCGTGCAAAAATTGGGTTGCTACCCCAAAGGTCAATGTCACACTTAAAGGTCAGATGTAAAAAAAGTATTCATTTCATAATAAAAAGTCTACATTTCGTGTCCACTCCATAACTTTTAAACCGTTTAAATTTCTTTTGAAATAACTTGGCACAAGTGATTACCATAATGAGACAATTTGCAAAGCGCAAAAAATAGGTTGCTACCCCCAAGGTCAAGGTCACACTTAAAGGTCAAATGTTGAAAAGTCTTCTTTTCATAATAAAAGTCTAGATTTCCTGTCTTAGATGCTTATAGAAATGTAGAAGATATAAAGATTTTAAATACAAACCATACTAACCGTTTTGTTTTCCAGAAATAAAGTGCAAAATTCCGGTGCTGTCAGAAAACACACTCGTGACAAATCCAACAGAAGATAACAAATACCCTCCTGGCACAGACGTGTTTTTTGAGTGTAAAGAAGGAAATGAGTTCTTCACTGAACACACATCCGTCTATTGTCAAGACGACGGAACATTTGATATGAGTATACCGACTTGTGATCCGCAGAAATGTGGGCTCCCGCCGAATATAGAAAATGGAAAATTTTCTAATGATGCAAAACTAGAAGAGTTTCCCGTTGCCTTTACGGCACAATATAAATGCAATTTCGGATATATGTTTTCGCAGAACAGTCTGAACCCATCAGGTAAAGTTAACTGCCTCGCCACAGGGAAATGGGAAGCCAATCTTCCCGAATGCGTAGTTGTGACGTGCCGGGATCCAATCGACATACCATATGGTCAATATCAGAAAGCTGGAAACACTTTCCTAGATCAGGTACGCTACAGTTGTGATCAAGGGTATGACCTTTCACACACTGATGTCTTGGAGTGTTTCGAAACTGGAGAATGGAGTATAGCAGCACCTGAATGCATTCCTGTGCAATGCGGACAGCCCGATGATATACTGCACGGGCATTTCGAAGGCGACGTATTTACATACAAAAAAACTGTTAGTTATAAATGTGATCTAGGTTATGTACTTACTGGCGGGGATGAGCAACGACAATGCCAGGCAGATACCTTCTGGAGTGGCACAGCTCCTGCGTGTAAACCGGTGTCATGTGGCAAACCAGAAATCATAGAAAATGGACAGTGGAAAGGCAGGGACTATACGTTAAACAACGTCATTCGTTATGTTTGCGATGCTGGGTACGAATTAGACGGACCCGAGGAAAGAATTTGTCGCGAAACTGGGAAGTGGCAAAATCAATCGCCGGTTTGTAATAAAATAAAATGTCCTACACCACCTTCAGTTGACAACGGGTTCTACACGGGAAACTCGTTCTTTTTCCAAGATACTGTGACATATTCCTGTGAAAATGGCTTTACTATGGAAGGAGAAGCTTTGCTTCTATGCTTAGGAAGTAAACAATGGTCTCAAGCTCCACCAACATGTAATCGTATTGTATGTTATAGTCCGCCTAGAGTGAATAACGCGATTTATTCCAATCCACAAGCGCTTGAAACTTTCAATATTGGCGACAGGGTGACATATCAATGTAATGCTGGCTATGAATTATCTATAAATAGTTTGAACCCTCGAGGAGAAATCGAATGCTTAGAGACAGGATTATGGGAAGCAAATTTACCAGAATGTTTTTTAGTAAAATGTCCCCAGCCATTGCCTATTCAATATGGAAATGCCGTTGTTTCGAGTGTAAATCTTGAATTCGGAAGTTTTGTAAGATATATTTGTAATGAAGGTTATGAGCTACAAGGGGAGGCAAGTTTAACTTGCCAGTCAGATTCTACCTGGTCTGGGGTGGCACCGACTTGCCAGGCTATTGAATGTGTGGCGCCACCATTCGTACTAAATGGCCGGTTGGATTACAAGGACTTGAAATTAGGTTCAGTTATTAGATACATGTGTAATGAAGGACACGAATTAACTGGCCTTGAGGTACGTCGTTGCTTAGCAAATTTAACGTGGGAAGGTGAAGAACCTGTGTGTTCACCGGTTGATTGTGGGGTACCAGACAGCATTGATAATGGCATAATTGAATATGAAAACACCTTATTTCAAGCGTCTGTGCAATATAGCTGTAATACCGGATATATCCTTGGTGGTGACAGAACTCGTTCATGTACTAAAGAAAAAAGATGGAGTGGTGAGGTCCCTTCTTGTGAAATTGTTCAGTGTGACAAACCATCCCATATTATATCGAATGGACGTATGTTAGGGGAAGTGTTTACTTATGGATCAGTTATTTCATACGAGTGTGACCCGGGTTATTACATAGATGGATTATCAAACAACAGAACGTGTCTTGCTTCCGGTGAATGGAATAGACCAATACCAGTATGCACAGCCGTTGAATGCCCGAGACTTAATATCCGGAATGGGTTTACGTCAGGTAAGTAGGTTATTAGCAAGAATTACTACAGGAAGCATGTGACCATTAAGTTCTTTTGTCAAACTCAAGATTAACTCGATTTAATGAAAATATCATGTAACTTGAAACGAAAAGCTAATTACTAACATGTGATGGCGGCCATAATATATATGGCAATGATGTTATCTTATATTGCATCATATACACTCTTCGTAATAATGGAAAATATTCCATTGAAATACGATTAAAATATTGACTTACGGTAAGCATATTTCAATTTTTTGGGTTATAGTATGTTGAATGATGGGCGGCGGGTGAGTGGGCGTTGAAAAAGTTTCGTAACAGTTTTCTCATCAACTACTTATCACAACCGATTTATTAAGCATACAGCATTGCCACATGGTCCCATACTGTGGGATTCCATTTCAGGTCTCATCTACTTCCTGTTCACCGACTTAGTTAAATTTCCGACATTAATGGCCAATGATAGGAAATTTTCGTAACAGTTTTCTCAGCAACAACTTATCATAGTCTCTTGATATTTGGCATACATCATTAACACGTTGTCCCATACTGTGGGATTTGATTTCAGGTCTGTTGCAAATCAACTTCCTGTTAATCGATTTAGTTAAATTTTCGCCATTAATTGTCAATGGAAGAAATTTTCGTAACACTTTTCTTGGCAATTACTTATCACAGCCACTTGATATTTAGCATACTGCATTAACTTGTTGTCCCATACTGTTGGATTCATTTTCAGATTTGTTGATTTTCCACTTCCTATTTACCAACTTAGTTAAATTTTCGACATAAATGGTCAATGGAAGGAAAGTGTTGTAACAGTTTTCTCAGCAACTACTTATCACAGCCTCGTGATAACTGGCATACAATATTAACTAGTGGTCTCATTTAGTGAGATTTGATTTCAGGTATGTCGCTCATCCATTTTCGGTTTACCGACTTAGTTAAAATCTTGAAATTAATGGTCAATGATAGGAAATTTTCACAACAGTTTTCTAAGCAACTACTGATCACAGTCTCTTGATATTTGGCAAACTGCATAAACTAGTTGTCCCATACCATGGGATTCGATTTCAGGTCTGTTGTTAATCCACTACCTGTTTACCAACTTATTTAAATTTTCAACATTAATAGTCAATGGTTAACATTTTTTTTGTAACATTACAGCCTCATGATATTTGGTATACAAATGCAACCCGGTCTTTTCTGTCTTTGACCAATTTTTATATCATTTAAAGTATTAGGTAAAGGTGTTAATCCATATTTAAACATGAAAATGGTGAAATTTGAATGTAGAGACATTTGCAGATGTATTGAACAGATTCCTCTTTAGAATAGAAGTCTGATTAAAAGGAGACCTAACCAAACATGTTAGAATTGAATACTAGTGTAGCCCTCTCATGCTAGATATCTGAAAGTGACTTGTCGGTCACTGTATCTGTACAAAACCATTTCACATTTTTAAGGAAAATTACAAAATATTTAGTTTGACTGAATAACAAACGAACAATGATCAGACCATGTGCAGGGAGACCTTTTTCTATGCTGGTCGCATGGGTAGAATCAGTTGCTTCAAGCAGACTAATGTTTAATAATGGTACTTTAGATTTATTAGAAATACTTTAAAGTTAGCAAACTTTAGATTATGAATGTTGAGTTACATATTTTATTCTTCATTGATGCAGGTTTTCAAACCGAATTTGGCACCACAGTTGCAGTGACGTGTCGTTCTGGTTACAGACTTCAAGGGGCATCTAATCGCACGTGCCAAGAGGATGGTTCGTGGAGTGGGGAACAGACTGTCTGCATAAAGTACGCCTGTCCGAGGCTCGATCCTCCTGTGAATGGTCAGGTTTTAGTTCGTGGGGGGACGGCTACGTACATATGTCTAGAGGGATACACGATGACTGGACCGAACGTTCGAGAATGTCAGAGTGATGACACATGGAGCTTAACAGCACCAACATGTGGAGGTGTACAATGCCAAGATATAACATCGGGGGGATTCCAAAATGGTGTGATGACCTTCGATCAACTAACATACGGTTCTAGTATAATATTTGAATGTAATCCGGGATATTCCTTGGTTGGAGAGCGCAAGTTAGATTGTCTCTATGACGGATCTTGGAGCGGCGTGATGCCATTTTGTGACAAGAAAACGTGCTTTCCACCGTTTGTTCCATCAAATGCTCAGCTAGTTGGTACAGATTTTTCGTTCGGGGCAACAGTAAGTTTCCAGTGCGACGAAGGTTATAGAATAACCGGAAATACAGAGCGACAATGCCAGGCTGACGGGTCTTGGTCAGGTTCGTCACCAACCTGTCTCTTTATCATATGTCCGAGACCAGAGCCTAATAGAAACGTTATTGTAAGTGGCACTGATTACACCTATGGTAACCAACTTGAATATCTATGTAATGCCGGCTATGTTCTCGATGGACCAAGCACTAGAATATGTACGGAAAGTGGCGAATGGTCCGGAAAAGAACCGGAATGTTTAAGAAACGAATGTCCAAGGCCGCCGCCTTTACAAAATGGGCGTTACTTTGCATCGAGTTATTCACAAGGCAGTAATATAATTTACTCATGTAACGAAGGGTACGAGCTCGTTGGCATAGGTGTTCGTTTGTGTTTAGGGACACATGAGTGGTCAGGGAGTGATCCGTACTGTCAGAAAGTTAAATGTGCTAATCCACCGCCTATAGATAATGGGTTCTTCAGCGGGAATGAGTTCTTTTATGAAGACATTATTGAATATCAATGTAACACAGGCTATGAAATTGTGGGACAAGCACAACGCAAGTGCCTCTCTAATGGTCGATGGGGCGGAGCTGATGCGACTTGTATAAAAATAACATGTGGTCCCCCACCTATTAAGCTCAATGTTGTATATGACATACCAGGCGGGGAAAAAGAAGGGAGTTTCGAAGCCACAGCCTCACTATCATGTGAGGAAGGTTATCGCGGTATTGGTGTGAGTTCTCAACGGTGCCAAGCTAATGGTCAATGGTCTGAATCTAATTTTGTCTGTGAAATTGTCACATGTCCTGCATTTCCGGATGTTCGGAATGGCAGAGCTATAGGCAATGGGTTTCAGTTTGGAAATGAACTTGAAATCCAGTGCGACGAAGGGTATTATTTAGTAGGAAAAGCAAGACCAAGGTGCGGCCCTAATGGAGACTGGGATTATGAAAATGAGCCGCCACACTGTGAGATATCCGGGTGTCCTGACTTACCGAAAATAACAAATGGATTGACCAGTGAGACAGGGTCAGGAATTGGTTTAACTGTGACATACAGATGTAATGACGGATATAGACTTCAGGGGTCGGACCGACGGACATGCCAGAAAGATGGTTCATGGAGTGGCTCGGATCCCTATTGTAGATTGATTTTATGCGAAGTACCACCATTTATTGAGCATGCAATTCCTTTTAATGCCCTAACACAATATTTATTTAATTCTAAAGCACGTTACGTTTGTGAAACTGGATATGAATTGTCGGCTGGAGACAGTTTATTAACGTGTTCCGCGTCTGGTACATGGGAAGGTATTATTCCAACATGCTCGCTTGTGCAATGTGGGGAGCCAACGCAAGTCGCAAACAGCAAAGTTGCTGTAGCCTCGTACAATTTTAAAGGCGAGGCTCAGTATTTGTGTTACCTGGGATACAGAGTGAAAGGTTCTTCTTCAATAATAACATGTGATGAGAATGGAAACTGGCTTGGTGCGACACCTGAATGTGTACCGATAGATTGCGGTCCGCCACCGTATGTTCCTAACTCTTTAAAAATTGATTCGAAGAATTACACTTACAAAAGTGTTATTCAATACATTTGTGATGTAGGATTCACTCTTATCGGTCAAAGGACGACATCATGCCAAGCTACTGGTGTATGGTCGGGCAAAACTCCCGTTTGTGAGCCAAAATCATGCGGGACTCCGCCTCCTATTGACAATGCTATTTACATCGGTAATTACCATTTCTATAAATCCACTGTAACATACAAATGCTTCCCAAATTTTGAAATCTCCGGAAATCCAACGCTGACTTGTTCATACACAGGGGCATGGATAGGCGATAGACCGGAGTGTCATGCTGTGACATGCGGTCCACCACCAGTGTTTCCTCATTCTTCCACAACAATGCCAATGGAAGCTTATGTCAATAGTGTTGTTACGTTCACATGTAATGACGGCTTTTACTTAATCGGTAGTGCAACAGCAAGGTGTACGGAAAACAAGCAATGGCAGTATGAGGGAGGCGAGACAGCATGTTTACGTCTCGATTGCTACGATCCCCCACAAATGCCAAACGGCGGCAGGAAATTTGTCGGAACATTGTTCGAATCTACAGTGGATTATTTCTGTGACGAAGGTTACATATTATCTGGACAGAGTTCTTTAGTTTGTGGTATCTCAGGGCAATGGGAAGGAAAGCTTCCTATTTGCGAGTTAGTAAATTGTGGTGTACCACCATTTAGCGACCACATGACAGTCACTGGAGACAGGTACGCGGCTTAATTATTACAATCCATATTTACACTTATTTCATAACATAGAAACAGTTAAAGATACGCAAATAATGATGAGAAGTGTATTATTTTAGCCATTTGCATTACATCTTTCTAAAAAATCTCGCAATTGCTTTCCAGTCAAGGAAATAAAAGCTTATATTTATTTTTCTCAAATATTCCCCCTTAAGGAGCATCATTCTACTTATGCAGCAACTTGCTGCGTTATTTTAGCTTAAAGGTTTATATGCATGCACGATAATTCAGTATTCATGCTTTTCATGAATTTTTTAGTTTCACATATCAAAGTACAGTAACATATATGTGCGAGAAAGGGTATAAAGCAAAAGGTCGCCTTGTCTCAGAGTGTACATCATCCGGGAGATGGTCTAACCAGCCACCACAGTGTGAACGTATGTAATATTTTTCATGCTGAATTTTTATAATGTACTTGCTATGCTTTATATTTGAAACAGTAAATTCAGTGTTTAAGGGATATCAATTTCAAAAGATAATCAATATATTCTGATTTCTGTGTTGAAAAGTATATTATTTATTTTGCTAGCACAGAAAAGATTTGTTTCAAGTTAATTATATTTGTAAACTTTTGTATCATTTAAATACAAAATGCAGGACAATTGAATGGCTACCGATTAAGCTACATTTGTATTTCTCCTTACTGTTCAATTCATTGGAATGTTTTGTTGTTTTTCTTCTCCAAAATGTGTACAATTACAATAACGGATGTTGTGTGTAAAGGAACAATTTTCATCTTAAGTTTATTGTACCTGGTTCCTTGCAAACACAGACTTGCTAAAACCAATGCCAGGGGCCAAAGTGTTTTACTTTTCATTGACAGTGATGAACAAACTCAATCAATACAAGTCATGCCTTTTTATTCATTTCTGATTCCACTGTTTTCGAGGATTTTCTCTTCTTCAAAAGTTTTGTTCGTGTTATTTTAGGGGTGACATGCCAACGTCTTACATTACCAGAGAATGTTTTAATTCTAAACGGAAATCTTGGAAGTGAGAACGGATATGGGGATCAGATCGTGTTAGGATGTGATTCAGGTTACAACATGGCCGGTCTGGGACAACTTGACTGCCTAGAGACGGGATTGTGGAGCTCTGATCCTCCAGCGTGTACACCCATTCCAGGTAACGAATAAAATAGAATGTACACAAGTAGCAGGTAATTAATAAAATATCAAATACAGTGTACATCTGCTCAAAGTGATAAATACCGCACAGCGTGTACACCGGTTGCAGGTAAGAATGAAAGATCATAAAGCATGTACACCCGCTCCAGATTTTGAAAAATAATACTATCCAGCCAACTCATGCTCCATATTATGTGATATAAAGTTTTTAGTATCTTTTTTATTACAACAATAGATATATCATGCTCAAATTTGATATTTGAAAAACACCTGATAAGTACTTTACAGAATCTTTTGAAATGTAAAAAAACAACATCTTTTAAATACACACAGAGAAAATATGTAACGTTTAAAACCCTAAACACTAAAGGTATCAAAGTATGATTACAAAGTGCCATAAAAAGAACGGGTTGTTTTTATTAGAAAAGACAAGTAATAGAGAATATAGCCTCCCAAACATAGTGAATACATTCACTTATTCAAATTAGACATGTTAAGAAAGAATTTACTAGATTTCAATATATTTCTGCATTCAAAGAAGAGCATAGTATGTCTTTAATATTTTTAATTGTAAAATCCTGCATGTTTGCAAACTTTTTTAAATGTTTATAGTTTGTATGTAGCTTGGCTTTCTGGGAATAAATGTACTGTGTAATTATTCCTGTCAAAGACTGGGATATATATTTGGCGTTGAACAGCTGTTCGTTAGTCCGTCTGTCCGGCGTACGTGACGAAACGTTTACTATTACAGATTAAATTCTTAAATTTCATATGTGTAAAAGAAGAGCCCTTTTTCGCTTTTGCAAGATTTTGGAGTGATTGCCCTTTGTAATTTTTCATACTTTATTGTTTGTATTTTGTATTTTTGCTCTTTTTCCTCGGATCAAACCTGCAGAAGTAGTAGATATATCAGCTTGAAACTTCATATATTGATATATCTCATAAGGGAAAACTACATTGTCTATAAACTTTAATTGTCTTTTGCATAATTTAAGAGTTAAATGTTTAGAGAGAAAATACTACATGTATATTGTTACTATTCATTTCGACAGGGGATATCAATTTAATAAATTTACGTGTCTTATTTCAGGAGCACTTGCATGTGCAGCTGACACAGGTGTTGAACATGCACGTGCGTTAAGCGATGCACGACCAGTTGGCAAAGTAGAGACACTTGAATGTGTTGAGGGCTTTACTGCGTCAGGGGACGTAACTATAATTTGTCAAGAAAATTCAACATGGTCTGACCCTGCTGGGTCCTGTTCAAGTATGTGTTTCTGATGTTGTTATTGCAATGAAGTTTATTTTTTTCTAGTTTTATTGTAAAGTTTTCGGAGAATGTGTAACAACTCTGAAAACTTTTTTGTAATAAGGATAACGGATTCTAGCGACACGTCATATTAGTATGTCTATAATTCATGACGTCACATTCGGAAACACCCTCTACGCGTGTATATCAAGTACAAAAGAAATGCAAATACGAAATATATAACGCATAATGCAATATTTATGCAGGATTGTGCAAATCTGTGGCCAAAAACGAGCAAGTAACTACAAATATATTTCAGAGTATATTTGTTGACCATTACACTTTAAATCTCATTAAAATATTTCTAGTAAACTCCTTTTTTTATCAATATTGGTGATTACCGTATTGAAGGAAACATTTTATAATTCGTCGGTATTAAATAATATGATAACACGTATATCACGTTTATGTTTTGTATGTTTGGTAAACCTTAGACATTTGTCAACATATTCATGTCATATAAAACTCAAATAAGCAAAACCAATTTGACAGTGCCAATGTTGATAAGGTTACGTAAATTTCGTCAATGATGCACCGAAACAACACTAGTTACCTCATAACCAGATGTTTAAGCATCCATTTAGTATTGTATGACCTAGAAATTTGGGAATGTCACAGGCATACCGAACATCAAAACAGAAACGTTTTTATGGTAATTAATAACAACGACGGAGCACAAAAGTAGTTAATGTGGTTTTCAATTTGTCTTTCCTACGAATGATTTTAAAAATTAGACTTTTTTTAAATATCTAAAATGCTGCTTAAATGTTTTTAACAGCCATATGCGCTGATTGAGTTGTTTCAATTTTATTTACTTTAATACTTACGTCCAGTATTATAAAGCATATAAGTATTTAAAGCATTGCAGTCATACCGGCGGCTACTTTCCTGTTAATAAATACTAACCTTATTTTCTACAGTAACCTCCTACCTCACCACAAAATTAGTTTAAGCAATGGTTTGAGATTAGTAATAATACACATACTGTCATGACCCAAATGGTCGCGGACAAACGTCGTCTTAATTCAGGTTTTACACTTGAAATCTGCCTGACGAATATGAGGGTCATATGACAGAGCGTTCCATCGGGCTGCAGAAATATACATTATGTAGTGCATTGTTTTATGATGTTTCGTTTCATTCAGGAGTGTTCTGTGGTAAGCCAAGATTACGCGACTTTGTGAATGTGGTACGTATACAGGGTGCGTCATATTACTTTGGAGACAAGATCAACTTCAAATGCCGGTCCGGTGTGGCCCCGGCCAGGTCACCGCCGATAATACGGTGTATGAGTGATGGCACCTGGGACGGCGACATCAAATGCGGAGGTAATTTTCATTCTTAAATAATATGAGATGGTTATCAAACATGGAAATGAAACAAAAAAGCACGGTATGTTCTCTCTTGTTTAAAATGTCTTGAACGTTTTATACTTTTTAGTCAACTTGTTTATTTTGGTATTGCTATAATGAAAATGTCTGAAATGTAGAGATACAAACTGCATTTGATTTTTATTTTCTTCATTTTTCTATTTGAAAAAAAAAATTAAATTATTACATTATGTGAAAGTCACATTTGTTCTCAAAAACATAATATTTTTAACACAAAGTAAAAACGAAACATTTCCATGGAGCTAAATACTATATACTATATATTCTTACAGTTTGTTTTAGCAAAGATTTGTTATATTCTGAAAAAAGCAATCTTCGTTGATGGATGTCAAAACACTGATTGTGTTTACATATTTTTTCCAGTTTCGTTCCTCGTGCACATTCAAAGTATGTGTATGAACCATGATGAGTACTGTACTGTACTAGCAGTCATACACTCGTCCATTGAATTTAGATGTAATTTATTACAATATGAGCAAAAAATATATGTACATAAACCGGTGTCACATTTCACTCTTCGTATGAAAATTAAGATTGTGCTGAGAACAGATGTGTCTTTAGTCATTACATTAAACAAGAGCTACTTTTGCAAATGTGGTGAAAATAGAATCTCTTCACCATTTCAGTGACATGTAAGAGACCATGCCAACATGGTGGTATTTGTCTGGGTCTGAACCGGTGTAAATGTCGTTCTGGCTATGGTGGTCAGGTTTGTGAAAGAGGTATATATACCCCTGAATTTGATTGTTAATTTATTTTTGATTTACTCGGAAGCTATGCTAGGAATGAAAGTTTATTGACAGCTGCATTTTGTATATGTAGAAAAACTACTACTATTTTCCCATGTATATAACTGATATGCAAAACTATACTTGCTTTGGCAGACGACCAATCAATTTTGAAAAACATTCTATTAATGTATAGATATAGGTATACCTGTGTTAAAAACCACCACCGAGCAAATGACACGAACATTTTTTTTTTTGAATAAACTCTTTGTTTTCTGACATATATAATATTTCTTCACATTTCCGACATGGTAAAACTAATGGAAACGCCAGTCTGACATGCAAGAAAAATAATATTTACCCCCCCCCTGAAAAACAACGTTTATGGTTGAAGAATATGTTTTAAATAGATGTAAAAATGATTTGCTTTATTTTTAAGCGATTTGCATACATCCTTGTTTTAATGGTGGTAAATGTACGTCTCCTTATTCCTGCACGTGTAAACATGGATATAAAGGTACACGTTGTGAGAGAGGTAAGTTAATTTAATGTGATAACTGCAGCATGTGATTTTCTTTACTTCATGATTAGTTACATATTGATTACCCGAGTGGTAAATTGTTTAAGGTGCAGCGAATATTAGACAACAAGCGTGCATATATATAAGACAAGAAACATGTAAATATTAGAACGCATAGACTGTTTAACAATTTTTCAGCATTATTTTATAAAAAGAAATCGAAGTAATACATTTCTGTTGTTTTTATCAATTTCTGAAATATTTACTGAAAATGTGACTTATGTAGACCTATCCACTTTAATAAATGTATATCAGCAAAATTTAATCTTCTGATGGACTTGTAGATCTAGAAGTACGTTGATTAAATTTTGGTGAATGTGGTAAATATGTGGCTGCAAGACAATAATTTTCTTATAAACGGTCCAGTGGTTTGGTTGTCTACACTTAATACAGGGATCGTGGGTTCGAGCCTTACTCGAGCCTCGACCATGACTACTTATAGGAAACCAGCACTGGTCAGTTCCTAGCATCGGACTGGAAATTAATTGATATATTATAAAAAAAAACATTTAACCGTCGGCTGAGAATAAAAATCAATTTCTTTCCAGTTTTGGATAAATAATTAAATAACAAATAATGTAAATATTTATTGCACTGTTTGACATAGCCTACTGTTATTTTAACAATTGATTATCTTATCGATTTTATTTAACAAACGTTTCCTCTTGTTAATAATATAGAATGATTTTTATTTTCAGCTGTGTGTGATAAACCGTGCCAAAATGGCGGGAAATGCATGCGACCAAACAAATGCCGTTGCCGTTACAAATACAGCGGACAGTTCTGTGAAAACAAGAAATTTTAAAACTATTATGTTTAAACATTTCGGTTCATTTCATTTTAAATATATCGATATCAACTTTTTTATGCAAGACATTATTATTAGTGAAAATTTTTTTTCATAGTAGCAAAACTTCAAAAAATGATTCCCAATCAGTTGAATCATAGGAACTAACAAACAAACAAATAGTGCTCTAATTGACTTTGTGACCAAAAAAATTGAATTACTGTTTAAAATACATAATTGTTTAAAACCTTGTTGGCCAAAAGTTGTTTAAAAAAAATTCTGAAATATTTTTTCCAAAAAAAAAATGTTAAGAATTTTTAGTGTTATTATTACATATTGCCTTAACGTTTTGGAAACTTATTTAATATTCCCTTATTTCATCATTTTTACAATGATAGTCATCGTTTTTTTACTCAAAGCACCGTTTTTCGTGACAAATCTTTTTGGTTTAACAGTGAGCAATCGACACTACAACGACCACCATCACAACACCAACAACAACAACAACAACAACAAAACAAATATGTTTCTCTTTTATCTGTGACTTCTGTATACCAGAATTGTTACTGCAAAACACATAATTGTTGAAATATCACTATGTGATGGCATCAACATTTTCATTGTTCTTTATAAATAAACATGTCTGATATATTTTTTCCAAAATAAAAAAAATTGTCAAGAAATATATACTAGTATTGATTTTTATTTACAAATGATAAGCCGGTTAACGTATCTTGATGGAAATTTAGTTTATATTCGCTTATTATGACATTTTCACCTGATGAATATGTCCACTTGTTTGTAGTTACATACAAAGCACCGTCTTTTCGTACGTAAACAAGATGTTCATGGTTATTAACAGTGCAGCAATTCTGGAAGGAACACCGACTGCCCTAAGTCAATCAAAATGGAGAATTTAAAACCACATAATAAAGAAGTGAATGACAAAATACCTCAAAAGGGACGCTTTCGGGGCATGACAGCCTCCATATTTTTTGCGGGTTACCTATATAAAGAACTGAAAGACTATCTTATATGTTCAAAGCTCGAAGCCATTGTGTAAGCTCGTACGGGGTAAACAATGTAGAATATATTTCTCTTAGAAGAAGAAACATTAGTTCTATTGGAAGGAGTATAAATCACGTTTTTTTTCCGAATGCTGGGATGAACGCCGTCTCCTAGCAGTTTTGAAAAAAGCTATTACTTGTTGTTTCGATATTGCTGTTGTTTCTTACCATGAACGCTCGTACGCGAAAAAAAATGTTATCACTGTTATGAACACTGTAGTTAACGACGTCGATCATAAGCCCTGTGAATGTCTCGACGTGAACGAACTTGTTTCATGTTACACATTTATTTGAAAACCATTATTTACATTTACAATTATACTAACATTATGAGAGATTGATTTGTTTAGTTAAAACGATGTAATAACCTTTAAAGATATATTTTAGTGGGATCTTGGAGTGCACTGCGGACTAAACTGAAAGTGTTTTGAAATTGGTACTAAATTAATTCAAAAGGAACGATCAAACAGACATTTCGAAAATGAACTGAAATTATAATGCAAGATACTTCAATCAAAGAGACAATCAACCTTTGTTTGACACACCCGCGTATATCATTAAATAATTAAATAACCCAAAGCGTACCCGTACACAACTGTCTTTATTGACAATACAATAATATTCATCATTGCCGTATGTCAACATGCAATGTTTACGACAATATTGATATTCCATCCTATTATTGTAATTATCTTGTTTTAATCTCTAAATTCCAGATGAATTATTAATAACTAATGGAAATTTGAGGTCTTCCGTGCCACTTATTATTAAACAATTGAAAAGTTTGACGGAACAAATAGTCCCAATGCGCATTACTTGACGCTGATGGCCGGTATGCAGTTCACAACAACAAGTGATTTGCATGCGTGCTAATTTTACGCGGCCTTTGAATGATGAATAACGTTTCATAATTGACTAACATATGTGGCGACCAATCACGCAAACTCAAGTCTGGTATTTATAGACATTTTCAAGTCTGACTTTTCCCCACTTGATTTGAAGACGTCGGCATAAATTGGTCTATCATGGTAAATACTTTTTTTTAGTAAACAAATTTCATTAAAATACATGTAAGATAAATCAAAATGTCATAAACCTATATTTTACTATTACGTGTAAATTTAGGTTTTAGCTTTAAATTTATATTTTACAGCTGTTCGATGCAAAATAATATTTAATAAATTTGTATGAATATGATTAAAAAGAACATATACCGCTGCAGAGCGCATTTATATTTAAATGTATAAGTAAAACAAAATATAATGTAAAACCTTAAAAGAAAGATAATTGTGCATTCGAATTGTCAAGAACCAACCATGTATTATTTTCCTTTCTCCTATAGAAAAAGAGCAGAATATGACACAAAATTATTTAATGTACAATATATTATATGATCATAATTATACACATTATCATACTTTCAGTTTTACAAGATACAAATATGTCAATACAATCTATAAAATAATTCAAATAATAACCTCATTCTTATGAGTTTTGTAAAATGTGTAGTAATAAGCAACGGTTGAACGTGGATAAATACAACATAGGAAATTTAGAAAGTCACAAAATCTGAATGGCGTTTTGGACTTTCTTTAGGGATTCCTATTTTCTCTATTTTAGTATCGGACATTTAAAAAAAAATGTTCCCGTATATCTTTTTTATGAAGTAAAAACATTGTTTAAATTCACAACTTTTAATATTTAGAACAATTAATGAATCTGACGTTTAGATTAAAGTTATGTTATGTTCACATTATATTACGATAATTTTTAACAGCTTTGGCTAATGCACTTATTTTTTCAGACTTTTCTCAGGAATACTGCCGGACTACTTTTATTGGCATGTGTACTTAGTCGAAGTCTGGCGTTACCACCGTCCGTCTCTAAGAATAGGGTGCTGAATGCCCGATACAGACTGGAGCAGTGTACCTGGGGATGCACGGGAAACATTGATAAAAAACTTGACCTATGTGAGACAAGATGCAGCGCGGAAATACCAAGGGACAACCGGGGATTTGACTTGTGTCTTAACGGATGCGCAAATAACTACATCAACTGCTCTGAGTTATGCGAAAGTTTTACCAAAGAAAAACAATGAAAACACACTCTTTTTCGAGGTGAAAAGAGTGGGACAATTAGCATATAACTTTATATACAATGAAATTTCCTAAAGTTACTGATTATATATGCGTCTTGCAAAGAAATGAGTCATGTTTGATACATAAATACGTTTTTAAAACATTGATATAGTTCTTATAGTTTGATATTGCTTGGCTTACGTCAATGTTTTGAATTTTGTGTTAACATGATAGTTTTTAAAAGAACATACATGTATTTAACTGCTTACTTGTCTCCAACATGTCTTGTTTTTCATGATATAATTATTTCATGATATAAATATAAAAGCCACATGACACAACTATGTTCAATCCTTATATGTTCCGAGGTGATTACGGATATGCGGCGATGTGTTCCGAATGCAACAAAAATGACATTTACATTCGACCTCTTATCACATAGATAGTATAAGAAAATATGTAAATGTAGTTGGAATTTGTCATTAAATACCTGAACACTTTTACATGACAGACCATATAATTGATTTGGACCGTAGTATTATGTGATTTCCTATCAACGAAGATAAAATTACAATATCTAATTAAATTAAGAAACAAAACTGACGGAGCCCAAAAGAAAATTGTCTCATTTCTGTTTATTTTGAAACGGATTTACATGCATTAATTAGAGTTTGAATAGGTCATTAAATAATCGAATATACTTTATTTCATGTTACTGTTACATAATTACACTCATAATAATGTATACTGGTACGTTATTTAATATGCTATACACGAAGCAAGACATACCATTTCATTAAAGTGTAATATACAAAATTGTATCTGATACTGAATTTGTTTCTGATAATGTCTTTTTTTGGTTTCATTTGTGCCTGTGATAATCTCAGAAACAACGAGAACTGCAAATAGTTCTACGACGTGAATTTGATGTAAACAAATTCAGATAAGTAAAGTCTGAGATTTCCTTTGAGGTTTATGCAAGACTACGGGGCAACTCTAGTTGTCAACCGCGGACATTAACTTATTGATACATGCTAAATAGTGATAATATCCAAAAACTTGATCAGATTTCTTCGTTGAATTTATTTAAATATCATTGCGTTTCAACAGTCACTAATTTCGCGAAAGTTTCCTCCTGGGAAACGCTGGTCGAAATTTATTCATAGATTCAGAACGCAAGCATTGGAATATTATATATATATATATATATATACCAATACGCATGCGCATTTAGGAGCCACAGACTTGCAGTAACAAGCTTGAGATCACAACAATAAATATTGAAAGCAATACGCAATGACATTGTATATCTTACTGCGTTTCTTTCAGTATATTTACTAGTAGACATTGTTTGTATAATTATTATGTCTCCTTATTAAACCATAAACATTTTGAAGAACGCCACATGCAACATTTTGCTCGTCTGAGTTACATAATAAAATCCTTAAATTATCGGCGATAGTTCTAGTCATTAAATCAACATGATTTATATAATTATACAAATATACGTATACAAATAGATTCCTCGTATACAAATCTCTCTAATACAATTGAAAATATTAATATTACCGAACTAGTATAAAAACCTTTAACAAAATTGCGAAATAGCAAAACGATTGTCAAATACTCTTATTTTACTCCTACATCGCTTTACATGGGCATTTTAAATAACAATTAAATATCTAGATTTGCAAAGGCGTCGAAATTTTATATGTGGTTTAGCACCTTTAAAGCAGTTCGATACAAAAACACCTGCCCTTTAATACAGTATTTGCAAAAGTTAACGCATACATAGATCACTTTTGCTAAAAAAAGATTGCAACTGATAACCTTTTTTCCCCTTTTTTTCTGGAAAAAGCAGACATACTTCATAAATGGTTTTCA